AGTAAAATGTAAATTATCTGCTGGAATAATGATTCGGGATCGGGTAATTAGAGGCTGGTGGATAATTGCACAAACATATCCACATACATCTCAGCAGCAATTGCCCCTCTAGAGCCAGTTCCTTTGGCAAGCACTGGCCCTGGGCAGCCTGAGGCCAACTCAGGACACAGCTCCCAGGACGGAGGAACACTTGGCATCAGGCACATGCAGAAGCAGGACTCGAATCAGAAGAGATCCCAGAAACCATCCCATCTCACTGACATGAGCAGCTCAGCCCCGTAGGAGATCTCCAACCCAACACAAATTAATGAGACTGGTCCTCAAAGGAGGAACAGCAGGAGGCACTGGCAATTTATAAAGCAGGAGGAGGAAATTGCTCCTCACCAACCTGTTATTTCTTAGTGGAGAGAGCAAGTTACTCAGTGGGTGCTGCCCGAGGGGTACAGGAAAGCCACTCAGGGAAAGCAAAGCAGACTAAGAGATGAAAATGTTCCCTTAACCGTCCTAACAGCACAGGTTAAACACAAGGAACACATGTCAGACTGCAACCAGATAGCAGCTGAGCAATTCAAGTCCCAGCTCTCAGCTCAGCTGAGTGGGCACAGGGCTCCCCTGGGAGGGCAGGGGAAGCTAATGAGGAGGTGTCAGCAATTAGAGAGAGCCCAGCCTCCCCTGGGGCTGCCAGGTTTAACACGGAGCGGCGTGAGCAAAGATCTGGGTTAGCAACGGGAGGAAGCAGAAGAGGCTGGCGGAGGCTGTCGAGGCAGAGCTCAAAGATGCCCAGCGGGTGCAGAAGGATGCTTGCTGTCTAGATGGGATTTCAAAGGGTGAGGTGATGGCATCCACTCACTTGGTCGCCTTCTTGACCTGTAGTCAAGATGGAGCAGGGTGCATTTTAGGAGATGCTCAGCCAGGCCAGATGGAAGATTTGGAGCCACCCTCACTAAACCTAGTAAGTGCAACCCAGAAACATGCCAGTAAGCCCTAGCCAACACAAAGCTTGGTCTGCAGCCCTTCTGCTGTCCCACAGTGAGTCTGACCTTTGCACTGAGGCTTCTTCAGTGCTGTGAAAATAACCTTGACAAAAGTATTTCCTCTTCAGTTGTAAAAAGCTTTGAACAGAGTTGGCACAAACGGCAATTGTTTTATTTGACTGACCACAGCCAAAAAAATATACCTGGGGGGTTGGACTGGGTGTTGGAAATAGATGTCCCATGTCCTTTCAGAAAATAAACTGGGTTGCCCGTAGCACAGATCTTAACCTGCGATGTGAAATGGAAGTTTTAAAAAAAAACCCTTTCTTCAAAAAGTGTAGGAAAAACAGTCCTTAATGCGTGTTTGCAGAGCACCTAACACAGCCCTGATAGCTGATACAGACCAGGCACAGAAAAAGAAACCCTTTAATTCTGTGACATAGGCCCTCGGGGATTTCCTTCTCTTCACCCTTCGCTGAGTTTCCGTGTGCCTTACTTGAAGGGAACTCATAACCTGCTAAAACAGAACAAGCCTGGTTCATAAATGTAGTCTGGGGCTGGCTAAATTTGCAAGTTTAGAAAGAAGAAAAGCCACTAAAGTATTAAATCAATTCTTCTATTTAAGAGTAAAAGCTCTATGAGAGTAATTTATTTAGAAATGATTTGGTCTGGGGATTTCCATTCATTAGTTGTGCTCTATCATGACAACCTAAGAAGAAAATCAATAGGAACAACCTTTGCGTTGGCGACTTAATAGTTTCTTGTGATAATATAGGGTCATTACTGCATTCAGCGTGACTAAAATTAGATTGTCAGACTATTATGGAGGAGAGAATAACGCCTCCTATTTTAATGATCATAGGAACGCTTTATGGTACGAGCCATTAACTGCAGGAGAGCACAGGTCAAAAGGGTGTCCCTGTACAGCACGTGGGGCCCAGCTTCACGTGAAGCCAGAAGAGCTATATGCTGGTTGATGAAGAGTGAAAAGGAATGGGAAAAGGGCTTTTTTTTTTTAGTTCAGCTGATTATGAACCTCCGCTAACCGCCCTTTCCCTTGGCGTCAGCTCTTCCAGCATTCACTGAGAGCAAATGGTCAGGATTACCCTTCTGTTTGCTGCAGATGCCCCATCTGGGGTACAGGCAGGTTTTCCATGTCCTTTACTTATCCTTAGATGTGAGTCACCTGCTCCATGGAGAACTACCCGCTTTTGCATCCCACAGCTCCCCCTCTCCATGGGTCCAACCGAAAGCTGATCCAAACCCGTGTGGCTCCCTTGCCAGAGGAGAACCTGCAGAGCAGCTTCTTCAGCTAGCTAATATATAGGATAAAAACTGCAAGGCATTGAGGCCCCCATTTTTTGTGTTACACTTGTGCTAGAAACTGTACTAATGTGACCAGGTAATGACAGAGAGTGCCCTTGCTCACCCCAGGATCCCGTGGCCAAGGGGATGGCAAGGGAAGAGTGGTACCCCACCTGGAATATTCTCTCATCTCTGGGAACTGGGGGAAGCCTATTTCCAGCCTGCAGCCATGTGGCAGAGCCAAAATGAGGGACCAGATGTCCCATGTCCTGGTTGAACAGCCAGTCCAGTGGAGGGTGCAGCTCTCACAATAATGTCCTGCTCTGGCATTAGACCAGTTCCTTTGACACCAAGTCCACCGTTTGGCAAAATCTGTATAGTTAAACTCATAGCTCATTGAGCTTTGCAGCCCCTTCAAAAGCATTTCTGTTGAAGGATTAAGACCTTAAATGAGAAAATCTGTGAGCTTAAAGGGTGTTTTGTTTCTGCCGTGATTGATGGAAATGTAAAACAGTTTGTATGGTTTCTATTATGTGAATTGGTCTTTCTCAATGTCCATTCAATTCAACATGAGTTTGACAGTGAAGTGGCATGAGTTGGTTTATTGGTCTAAATACCTTTATAACACAAAGCAATGTGGATCCACTTTTCAGAAAACTGGACACTAACCAGTAAAAATTGTATAAACAGAACCACCTGGAGGCAAAGCATTCATTGATGTACCACTCTTTACTGAAAGCCCTAATAAAAGAAAGCAGAACTACTGCATGCAATCGACAATATGAACCCTGGGCACCAAAATCTATACTCAGCCTGTAACCTAAATGGACCCACTTTCTTTTTCTAAAAGTGATTATGTATTTGTTATTGACACACCAGTTTAACTGCCAACATGAGTACAACCAACAGAGAAAAATGATCTGGCTTCCAATATTCAACCTCCCTGCAGGTCACCCAAAACTGTTTGCACCATTATTTGTGAATAACATTGATATAAATACCCAAATTAAGAAATCAATGGCAATAATAAAACCAAAGTTACTTTGTGGCTCTAGATTGAACCATGAAGGAAATCTGGCTAGACATAGGCATGTATGAATGGGATCCCAGTGCAAGCCACCTAAATTGGTCCATGAAAATTGTCAGGATTACTACATGCTTAGGGATATATGCCCATACTTTTCTCTGTCTTGCATGGGATTGTGCTCCGTGAATAGTTCTGCTGAAGACAGGAAGACAGCTTCCAGAGCAAAGCGTTTTGTGGTGTAACGGCATTGGAGTTTGGCTCCCCGATAGACCACAATCACGGGCGGATACCAGTGGCTGTTCTCTGCTGCTGTTCTCTACATGCCGCACATGCACGCTTGAGAACAAGGAGTTAGGTGACAATCTGCAGCGCAGAAGCCCTCAGCGATGAAAGATTGTAAGTGGTAATTGAGTACAGTGAGCAGTTAGCTCCTGGCAGTGATTTAAGTGACCTTCCTCCTCTGAAGGAGCTTTGGATTTAAGCTCCATGCAGATGAGAGTAATGAAACTCTTCAACCCAAAAACTCAGTGGCAATTAAACGTGTTATTTAATACACACAACTGTGCATATGTGCAACATAAATGTGTAACCCAGTATGCATACGTATACACATATATATATTCTTTTTGTACCGATTATACCAACCAGTTTCTCAAGTTAAAATGCAGCAAGAATGAAAAGAGCAAGTCTTTTCAAAACAAGACATACCTTGAAGTGAATTACTATTCTGTGTAGCATGGCTTCTCAGCCCTTCGTTGTACATGATAGGCAAACCCAGACATTTCTGTTGAATAAACACAGAGGTAGACAGTAAGTCCATTGTCAACGGAATGGGTCTGGGTGGGAACCAGTGTGTAACGCCATCAGCTGCTGGTGGCTGCTACTTTGGTGATACAAATGCATCTGGACAGGTTCAGGATAGGATGTCGGGCTTCGTGCGGCTTTTCCATGCTCTGACAGTGTTTTGTACCTTGGCCTACATGGTTAAATGCTCGGTTTGTACTTTGGCTAGGGATGGGTGAGCATGTCTAGTTTCAATCCCTGTGTGTACTGTGGCCTTCATAGTTAATTTCAGCCTTCCTGAGTCCTGTTAAAAGAAACATAACAGCACTAAAGGACAAAAAAAAATAGGAAAAAGGACAGATTTCAAGAAGGGGGATGTGGACACCTCTAATTTTTGGGTGCCCAGGCAGAGAATCTTTCAGTGGGGCTTATTTTCTGACAGCCTGGAGCATGTGTCTTCTAAAAACCAAGCCTTGTGAAAGTACGTACCTGTGCTGAACAAGAGGGCACGATGCAGGGATCCCGCACTAGCGCTGGGCGACTGCATCCCAACAGCAGAAACGACAGAAGGAGACCCCAACGTGCTGCGTGCCCAGCTATGCAGCCTGCCAGGAACACGACCATTAGCCCATACACCCAGCCCCATTAGCGCGGCCATCCTCACCCCTCATCCCGGGCAGTATTGCTGCACAGCACCCTCCCAGGCTGGGCAGACTTGCCCTCAGCCCGTGTACTGCAGTAGAGATATACAAAATGACTAGTTGGGCTTGAAAAATCTGCAATATGTCAGCCCTTTCCAGTAGCCAATGCTGCTAGTGAGTCTGTGCCCCTAATACAGTTCAGGCTGCCCTTTACCTAGAGAAAAAAAAACGAGATAAAACTTATTTTAAAACTTTATCTAAGCACACAGGTGTCTAGAGCAGGGGATAAAAATGGTTTTGAACCTTGTTGTACACCAAAAGATGTCCAGGATGAGTTTGAGAAGTCCCCAACCCTACACGTATCACTTGTACCTAGTTGAGGCTTGCTGCTCTTGCAAAATAGATGCAAAGGCTGCTTAAACTGAACGCCTGACTTCTATATGGCAAAATTCGAGGTGAGATAGCCTCTTTATAAATGTCTGATCCTGAACCCACTGGAGTGATGAGTGGAGCTGACAAGTAATTTTGAATCCCTTAGTGCAGAGCAGCGTGCCACGCCGGGGTGAGCCTGCACCTCCCGTCCCAGCTGGTCTCCTGGGCTCGAAGGTCCCTGAGCTGCTCATCCTTTTCTGCCGCTATGTAAGCCAGGGCAGCTGTACAGAAATTCAAATTGAACCCAGGTGATTCAAAGCCTCCTGAAACTGCTACTTTCCCCTTTATTTATTTTTCTAGAGAAGATGGAGTGGGGGAGTTAAATTGCTAGATAGGTGGTGTTGCTCGCTTTCCAAAGGGGCTTCTCAGCTGCCCAAAGCACACACACTGCTAAGGAGTAATGGGCAGACCCTTGTGAAAGCTGAGTGTGTTTGCTGACAGGGTACATTGCTAAGGCTTGTGCCAACCCTAGAAGTTAATTTAATGCCTTTTTTTTTTAAAGAAAGCCTTTTTTTTTTTTTTCATTTTTGGTGGAATGAAGAATTATTCTTGAGGATTAGCGTGAGCTGGCAAAAAGGCACTGGAATAGAGCTCAGAACCTCCAGGTTCCATTTCTTGCTTTATTTGCTGCAAGATTCTCCCCCAGATCACTTCAGTTCTCTCTCCCCTTGCTTGTCTAGACAGCAGAGTGCTGAAGGCAAGGGCTGCCTCTCCCTTGGGGTGAAATCTGGTCTGACTGAAATCAATAGCAAAACACTCAGGATGCAGCCCTGGCATCACTGAAGGCAATGGCAAAAGTCCCACCGACTTCAGTGGGGCCTGAATTTTATACCCTGTGTATTTCCACAGAGCCTAATTTAACAGGGCCTTTATCTCAGCCGGGGAGTGAGATGCCCCTGTAATACAAATAATGGTATTTATAAAACACCTCTCATGCGCACACAGCACTCTACAACGTGGGGAACGTGACAAAGAACAGAGCTCCTGCCCAGGAAAGCTTCCAGCAGCAAGGCACGAATGGATAAATTACAGGAGAAAATAATAGCGACAGGTACCATCTAGGCAAAAGAAAAGCAGCATGTGGTAACTAGAGCCGGAACGCTTCATGGAGCAGCTGTTTTTCAGGAACTCTCTGAAGGAGGAAAAACGAAGGCTGGGCAAACCTAGAGAGGCTGTTGCAGGCTTGTGGGTGGTAAATAAACTGGCTGAGGCTGTAGAGTCGGGTTTAGCCTTGAGTGAAATATTGCAGGCGTTGTGGAAACTCTTAACAATAAGGATTTCTAATGAAAATCTTGACAGACTTTTAATGACACGGCTGCTTCAGGGGGTTGTAATAAAAAGGTGAAGCTCGTAACATTTTGGGCTGTCCTGCCTGCTCGGTGCTGCCAGCTTTCACCCTGACAGATTGAACTTTAGCAGTTCAATTCCCAGACTGAAATGTTGCCAGGATGATATCGCCTCCGCTCCTCAAACATTTACTGTGTGTTTTTCAAATATCATGCAATAGCCGAGGGCAAATAGCATGTGCTTCGGTTCATCTTTTGTAACACCTCAGACCTCACTGCCATGAGTAGCGAGAAACCTCTTCAGTGCTGGGCTCAAAACTGTCTCTTCTCTTGCCAGGGGACACTTGAACTGGCTTCAGCTGGACCGCCGGGTGCTGGAACATGACTTCCCCAAAAAGTCAGGACCAGTTGTGTTGTACTTTTGTGTCAGGTAAGTGCATGATGGCAAGCCTTTCCCATGGGATACAGCTATGGACAACCTGTTCCCTAGAGGCCAGGAAATGAGGCTGTCGGTTTCCCACGGTAGAAACACCTGTGGACAAACAAACACTTTTACAGAGGTTTCTTTTGAGCTCTTTGGCTTCAAAAACTCTTCTCACATGAATGTAAATAAGTAGTAGCCACTCTAACACCCATAGCTGCCCACAGAGAAACCTTGCACGAGGGCAAGATGAGACGCTATGTCTTTACGTTTTTATTTGTGGGTTTTGAACTCCTGGAAAGTCCAAGCTGGGTAGGGCTGCAGAACAAAGACCTCTTTCTGCCAGGATAACCAACCTGAGCCAGCCACCTGGAGGGAAAACACTCGCTCCCTGGCCGGTGAGCCATCCGTTTCCTCTGGATGGTGCCCAGGGTGTGTGTTGTGTCAGGGACCAGACTAATCCCGCTATAGCTCTGTTGTATTTGCCTTCTGGACTCAACCGCATAATGGTATAATGAATTACCCACAAATAGCAAATGATGGCACTTCACGGCAACCAGTTGGCTTCTGCATGGGCATAGAACACATTCATAGACTGGACTGGACCAGACTAGAAAGGTTTTAATGAAGTTTATGGCAGTTTGGGAGAATTTCTCTTCATCTGGGAATTTTGCAAGGAACTGTTCGTGTTTGGAAGCCGCTAGAAGCTGCCGGTGCTCTTGTGTACGCAGCGTCTTTGCCTCCAAGGAAGATATCTTCTGAGAAGACAAATTTGCTCTTGCAGCTTTAAAATGCCCAGAGAGAGCCCGGGGGTTGGGATGGCATATGTACAACATTAAGTTGAGGGGTTTTACTTACTTTTAATGGATAGCTCATGTCTAGAACTAGCCAGTGCAGTGTTACTGTGTCTTTTCCTGTTAGCCTTTCCACTCCAGTGTTACATTACATCTGACATCACTCTCATTCCTTCCATAGTACCCACTAAAAATGAAGACCTACTTTTGAGTTTCTTCCCCTGAGTGATGCTTTTTTCCCCCACATAGTGATTGTCATTCATTTAACTTCAGTTACAACAAGGCTTCTCAAGAGAAGACACTCTTTTGTTCTGTTCTGTCCCCATATTTAGTTGTGGATATATCTTAGGACAAACCAAGGCTGCGCAAAGCCCCATGACTCCAGAACTGGCTGTCTCTCCCAAGAAAAGACAGTCTATATTTTGGGCACTCAAACCATAGGGGTAGATCCAGATCTGAACATTTCCAGTGTATATGATCCAGATCCACCTGTGCTTAGAACCACACAAAACTGCTGGTGCTCTTCTGCAAAAGTGTTAGACTTTTAGGCAAATTAAGCAAAACAAAGCAAACAAAAAATCATTAAGAACATACCAGCTCTGTTGTCAAGCATCTCGCCTAGGGACCAAATTGAGGAGTCTGTGCTAGGGCAGGGATTCCACGGAAAGCAGATTTTAGGAGTGGAACTGCTAAATGCGTGAAAGCCGGTGCTACTGAGCCACTCTCATTTTCATTTCAAAGACCACTCAACGAGCATAAATATTGCCATCTGTACTGTTTTATGGAAGTTGGCAGCACAGCGGAGACAAGTCATTCTAGCAGGATCTTAGCCAAGAGACATCTTGGGACTATGGATCCATATAACAGTAAATGAGTGACCTCTCCTGTTCTGGGATCATAATCCATAGGGAAAATCCACAGGGGAAAAATCAGCATTCAGTGTCTGAAAAGTGAGCACATGAAAACCAGACGGACTATGGGTTTATACTCTTTTTTGTGGTAGTAACGAGTAGATTGTCACACTGAGTCATGATTTGAAATGGACTGGAAGGCCAGATGCCTCAAGAGTTAGGTATGGGCATTAACTTACCATGGGTTTTCTACTGGTTTTCTTCCCCTGTGGATGTCAGACGCTGGCAAGAAGTTGAAAAAGTTTCCCAGCACTTAAAGAGTTCCCATGTCCATCCACAAATCTGATCTGAGCAGAAGGCAATTGGAGAAGAAACTGACTCCAGCCAGCTGGCTGAAGTTGGAAGGGCCCCATGTATCTGTTACCAGCGGTTTCAGTTCTGGCTTGGGAACTAAAGCAAGGGCTGAAGGAACGGTTGTGAAGAGACCCACCCATAGACAGGGTTGTATTTTGATAATCTGGGGGTGCACAGCGGCTTGCAGAGCCATCCATACCATAAACAGAACGCAGCTTCTCCCCTGCTGCCATGAGGTGGGAAGCAGAGGTAACCAATGCTGTACTACACCTAATTACAAATGTGCTAATCTCTAAGGGACTGGGTGCCCATGACACCTACTATGTCATTGGTATTCTTGCATTACCTCTCCCAAGCACTGCAGCTGGGGGTCCTAATTGGGGGGATAGTAATACAAGTAACTGGATGTGCCAGATGCTCATTACAGAGAAATCTGTTTACTGTATCAGGATTTAGTAATCATGTGGGGTTTTCCCTCTAGTCAAAGTAAATGTACAATTCAACCGCACCAGCTAACTACTGAAGACGTGAAGCTTCAGGCAAGAACAGTAAATGGTAGTTTGTGAAGAGGAGAAGCTACAGAGGAACCATTTTCACTTTTTGTGTGACCATCAAACTGTTTTTACCCTTAACATGCCTGAAGCAATGTTGATGGGCAGCATGTCCACCAAAGATGCCATAGATTTTAGGCTGTTTTAAAAGTGCAGACATTTAAAGGAAGCATGCCTTTCTAAGCAAAGACTTCTTGGAAGAACCGTGCTGAAAATAGGAAGTTTCACAGGCTTTGCAGTGTGAAATTCTCGTATTTTAATCTCTGCAGTACTGTTGAAGCTTCATCTTTTGACACACACTTCCTTGGGGTTTGACATTGTTGAGCATTGAAGTCCGGTGTCTTTACTCTCTTCCATAATCAAAGACCAAAAATTTCCCAGCACTGCCAGAGAAGGAGGATTTCATAAGGATGTTCTTAGCATTCATTCAGAAGAAATTGCTTCTGCCCTTGTACACGTGCACAGCTAACTGGAGCCTGTCTTCAGGTTGTCATCTAGTCCTTCTCTGGAAGCTTTCCACTGAGAACAACATAGGAATCTAGGATGCAATCAGAACTGCTTGGGCAGCTGTGAACTGCCCCGTGGCTATTCTTGTGCAATATTATTTTATGAGACTCTGCTAATATCCGTTTAGATAGCTTTAAAGCCATACATGAAAGCAAGAGGGAGGGCCATGTGTCTTGCAGGGGGGGTAGGATGTCTGGCAACAGGACAGGAGCGATACTAGTTGTCATCTTAGAATTAGTTTCCCCAGGTGGCTTTCTAAATCCCTTGTGTCTTGGTTGTTGGTGAAACTCATTCCCTGCCTCAGAGGGTTTACAGTGCAGATAAACCAAGGCAGATGAGAGTCACAGCAGAAGTCCGGGAGAAGCAAAGGATGGGGATGAAGGAAGGGGGGATTGCTTGACTAGTTGATTTTACAGAGGTGTTTTGAGACCAGAAGAGGGCAATGAAATTGTACCTCACAACATGAGCTGCATGGCAAAGGGCAGGAGCCTAAGTAAAGTGTGGAGACCCAGGCAGCAAGGAGGTCAGAGGAAAACAGAGCTAGCAGGGGTTCAGATAAAGTTGGTTTTATTTTTGGCAGGAAAGGAAGCATTTTGCTCTGACTCACACAGGCAGGAGAAGGAAGGCAAAGTTACGCCCTTTGTGCAAACCTTTGAGGTGGGTGAGGACCAGAGCATAGACACACTGTTTGTTCATGGAAAGCAAAGTTGGCCAGGCTTTGCAGTGAATTCTCATCCTCAAACAATGGCCTTGTGGGATTAGCAGTCCTTAGCTAGGGAACCACCAGCATGGGTCTGAGCTCTTTCTCTTCTGGATGTTTGTCATGCTGTTAATTTATATGAACAAGCTCAGCAAATAAAATTCACTTCACTGGTGGATCTTTTCCCAGGAATGAGTGTATGTGTTCTCAGGGTAGCTCCACCAGCTAAACAGTGACAACTCACTGCAGAAGTCGTCACGCTAAATCAGAACAGCTCTCACGTGAAAAGGCTTTTCTTTTAGAAAGGCACGGAAAAAAATGTGAAATAAATCCTCAACACTCAAATACACTGTGGGGCAGAGTTTGTATCTATGGCCCAGCGGTATTCCCACAAAGGAATGCCTGTGTCCAGCAATGCCTGGCATGTGTTCATATGTACTGGCTAGCCTGAAGTCAGCATGGGAGCTGTGGGGGCTCCAGACTTTCAATATTGAGGCCAGACATTTTGCCAGGTTGCCACAGTTACTACAGAACAAAGTCACCTTAGATAAGAGACCAGCACTGAAACCCAGAGCGCAAAGCTCATGCATATCATTGCTTCCTTTAGCCTGAAGGAACGGAGCTCTGTGTGCATCACACAGGTCTGAGGCAGGTGGGACAGACGTCCAAGATGGGACTCACCACACCAAACCTGAGATGTTTACCTGGCAGACGGCTCTATGTCAGGGCTAATTAGCATAGCCTCTCTGTATAACCACTGTAAAGAAATAGGCACTTTTCAGGAACAATTCATCTGACTTATTTTAGATGACTGCTTTGGAATTCAGTAAGTTGCAGTCTAAAATACCTATGTCTCTTCTCTGACCTCAGACCCCTGCTCAGATGTAGGCAACTACATTGTAGCTACCTCTTTTCACCTGATGGATCCCCTCCGTGTGCATCAAGGGCAGCCTATAAATTCAGATTATTATTTCAAACAGGGTTAGCGCAGGCAGGGTTGAAGAGGCTTTTCTCATCCACAAGGCTTTGCCTGACTACCTGAATGGAACTGGACCAGATTTCAGCTGCTAATGAGGCCTTAGGCTATTTTAGTTTTTCAGCCTTCCTTTATATCCGGTCTTTAAAGCCACATTCCATTAGAAAAAGAGTAATGTTAAAAATAAAAGGAGCAGGAGTCCATTTCGAAACAAATGGCCCTGGAAGGAAGAGACAGTGTTTGCTAATATCGATTGCTCGTAGGGCTAGAGGGACC